AGAGGCCAGGTTCCACGTGAGGCTCGTTTTTAGGTACGACTACGTCGCGGTCGGGAGTTTGAATTATTCACAACCCCCCTGTCAGGCCGTGCGTCACTAGGAGGCAACTTTCATTAACCTCCGTGGCCTTCGTCCGGGCACAGCAACACCCAAGTCACGTCGACGGCTCCGTGACCGACACTCGTTGTGAGGGGGGACAGGACACCGTTGCTGTCGAACGTCAAGAGGCCCGTATGAACCTCCTCTGTCTCTTTCTACCCCTTTCTCCAGTCAAAAATCCGACCCACATTTGTCAGACGTGACGACCCGGTTATAAAATTGCTTCTCAGGTTCCTTACTATTTCCATTTTTTGTAGTTTGATTACGAAAAGTTTCGTGTCTAACACTAAATATCCGGTCATTTGTGCAAAACTTATTCGAACAGTTTAAATTCTACTCAAAGGTAGAATTACATAGGACGAAATCATTACTCGCGGTTCCTTCATTATGTATCCACTTTTCCCTCGTATACCTCGGTCATTATCCTAATACATTTCCTTTGTGTTTCGGATTTCCGGGTCTATGTGGCGGGGGCTTTAGCCCGTCATTTACCCTCAGCCCGGCTTGTTAACTCGCACCACGTGTGCGGGATAAGCCTCATCACACACGCGGCGCTGGCCAGCCCAGAAAAGACGTGCTGGACTTGCGGAAAAGAAACAGCTATAGTTAGCCGCAGCCCTTGTGGTGGCCTTCAGCCNAGTTTCTCAGGCTCCGGCAGCAACTTCGTGAGCGTTGGCAACATCTTTGGCATGCCAAAAAATTGCCGAAGGACCTTGCGAAGGTTCATTTTCGTGTTGAATTTGTGTGTCAATTTTGCCCTTCGTAAGGCACTCGTGAGGGCATCTTGTTATCATCGGTGCCATCGGGCATTCTCCACGATCAGAGTGAGGGCGAATGCCCGATGGCACCGATGATAACACGAAGATGACACGATTTGACAAGATGCCCTTGTAAGGGAAACTTCTGTGTCGCAATGCAGTGGGAGTCACCGACTCATGAAGGAGACACGGGAAGAGCAGGAGCTTTGATGTCAAACACTGATGGTTTATTATAGGAGTTTAGGCCGGAGGATTCACATCACAAGTCACAGCAGTCACGGTCTGACTGCACGGTAGAGTTGCCACGTCAATTCTGGAGCGCCTCTCTCTCGTTAGCCCATTTAACTGGTTTCACAGAGAGTAATCAACATATTTTGAGAAGATAGCCTAAACAGTTGGGAACACTGAGTCACTTGCGTCCGATACCTATGGCCTCAAAGATTTCACACCTTGGAGTCCACAAACACAAAGAAGGAAGTGTCCCAGTGCACCCACAAAAATAAACCATCTGTGACCTAGGGTTGCCCGGTCATAGAATGGGAACAACAACATTATGGCTGAAGCAGCCTATCTCCTTAAAGGACATAACAGACGTCAGGGTTGGTCATGCACGTCATATCTAGGACAATTATTTCCCTAACAGCCCTTACAAGTGCCTTACGAAGTTGCCGCTCACGAAGTTGCTGCCGGAGCCTGAGAAACTCCACCGGTGGTCATACGATGGCATAAGATGCCCTCACGAATGGCCCGATGTTGTTACGCTCAGAGCCGAATTTGAACATTTCCTTTATCGTGTGTCCATCGGGTGTCAATTTCGGGACAGTGTGACGCGAGCTTTAATGAAAGAGGATCGTTTCTGCGAGGTGAAGATAGGAGCTGATTGGTGGTCCTGCTATGAACTCACAGAGGGCCCAGCTATAGTAACTGAACAAGAGAGTAATAAAAGTCACGGCTCGCCACTGGCGCTGAGTGATATTATGTCCTTTTAAGAATGAAAGAAGATCGGATATTAACTGAAAGCTCATTTGGATAACTTCTATAATAACAATAATTTTTAGATGTAAATAGTTTATTACAGAAGTACAACTTTTTTCTTTGGATTCATTAAGATGCACTGTTTTAATTATCGTTATATTTCTGTTTTTACTTTTCAACTGATTTCCATTGTAAAACAGAGTTATTTTTTGTTATGTCCCAAATCTCTTTAAAAATACAAAACAATTTGATGGATTTGTTGCCTGCTCATACCTGAGCTGACCTGTGTTGTTGTTCCTTTAGGTGCGGCTGCTGGGCGTGGTCTCTCAGGGACAGCCAACCCTGGTGATTATGGAGCTAATGACCCGCGGAGATCTCAAAAGCCACCTGCGCTCTCTTCGTAAAGAAGTAAGCAGCTTTTCTTGACGAACATAATCACAGAAACACTCACTCTGTCTCTTTCGTCACAAACACGCAAATGTGTGAACACATCCTGTCGTCCCTTTTTTCTTTCTACCTTTCACATCCACATGCTCATTTCCACTCATAGCATCCCTCACTGATCTGTACCTAGTATCCGGTGTTGTGGCTAACTGCACAGTGTTTTTTTCTTGCTCTCTACACTCGTTTCATCCCCAGAACTCCACCACTCAGGTCCTACCCCCGCTCAAAAAGATGATCCAGATGGCAGGGGAAATCGCCGACGGCATGTCGTACCTAAATGCCAATAAATTTGTCCACAGAGATCTGGCTGCCAGGAACTGCATGGTCGGCGAGGACTACACTGTGAAAATTGGAGGTAAGTCAATTGAATACAATGCTCTCAGCCTCCCCTGGTCGCTCAATGCTAAACCCACTTCACCGGCCTCCAAAAGAAGTGTTTGGATTTCAGTGAGTGCCTGAGGCCGTGGAGTCTTAATGTAGATGGACAGACGGAGGGAGAAGGTGAGGGAATGGATGAGCTCTCAGGAGCTTCTTCTCCCACACAGAGTGACTGATATTACTTGTTTCCCCAACCTGTGATTCCTTTTCTTTTTCTCCTTCAGATTTTGGCATGACCAGAGATATTTATGAGACGGATTACTACCGTAAAGGAGGGAAGGGCCTGCTGCCTGTCCGCTGGATGTCTCCAGAGTCTCTGAAAGATGGCGTGTTCACTACGATGGCTGATGTCTGGTATGAGAGCACACACTCCCTCACACACAGGGTGTTTCTCAATCTCGATTAAAGCTGCTCCAGAGCCACTATTTCAAGCATACTACGTCATCGAGTGCCGCCGAAGTACTGTTCCAATGTCCAGCATACTTGGAATTCTACCAAGCCCGGCGTACTTAGTTTGGAAACATTTCGAGGCTGCACATGTGTAGACTCCGCGGTCTTAAAATCCCCACAATGCTTTGCGCACGGACCAATTCGCAAAGCATTGTGGGGATTTTAAGACCGCGGAGTCTACACATGTGCAGCCTCGAAATGTTTCCAAACTAAGTACGCCGGGCTTGGTANCTGTGTACTAATACTGCTGATACTGTGTACTAATACTGTGTACTAATACTGCTGATACTGTGTACTAATACTGCTGATACTGTGTACTGATACTGCTGATACTGTGTACTAATACTGTGTACTAATACTGCTGATACTGTGTACTGCTGATACTGTGTACTAATACTGTGTACTAATACTGCTGATACTGTGTACTAATACTGCTGATACTAGGTGTTTCTCAATGTGGAGTACGCTTGCTTGTAGCACATGTCTTCCGAGTCACTTCCTACAGAAGCGAGGCAAGAATCCTTCCTGGCATTCGGAAAACAAAGAGTGGAACAGGCGAGCAGGTGTGCGTCATGTGAGAGGCCCCGCCTTACATTTTCCGCCACAGATTTGGGGAAATTGGTCCGTGCGCAAAGCATTGTGGGGATTTTAAGAGTCTACACATGTGCAGCCTCGAAATGTCTCCAAACGAAGTACGCCGGGCTCGGTAGATTTCCAAGTATGCTGGACATTGGAACAGTCCTTCGGCGGCACTCGATGACGTAGTATGCTTGAAATAGTGGCTCTGGAGCAGCTTTAAGCTGCTCCAGAGCCACTATTTCAAGCATACTACGTCATCGAGTGCCGCCGAAGGACTGTTCCAATGTCCAGCATACTTGGAAATCTACCGAGCCCGGNTCAGTTGTATCCGCTAAAGTTCTTTATCGTATAGACCAGGGGTTTTCAAAGTGTGGGAAGGTGAGCCTCCCCTCAGAGAACATAAGAACAGCCGCGCCCGCTGACGACCGGCCGTTCTGTGATTCTCCAGAACACACAGATGGCCAGTCCGCCCCTGCCAGGACCAGTCCATGAAAATCCTAGCTTCAAATAATTGTGGTCATACTTCCTCCGTTTTCTGCCAGACGCTGTCTCCTCTCTCACTTTAGTTAACTCCACAAAAAATCGATCCATATTGCAGCTCGCAAAAAGTTAGCTGAAGTTAACTAGCTAGATTTCACTGTTTCTCGTTATTTTTTTCTCACGCTGCGCCTCCCCTGAAGCTCTCTGGCGCCCCCCCGGGGAGGCACGCCTCACACTTTGAAAACCGCTGTCTTAAACCATAGATCATATCCAGGTCTACCTGCAGGTTTGGTCCTGGCGAAGACGAAGGCCCCTGCACTGCAGCGGCCCACCTCCTCGTTGCATGCATGGATGTCGATGCGGTAGACGGTGAAGGGCCGCAGGGTGGAGATGTCTAAAGATTCTGCTGCGCTCTTTTCCTCCGAGAAGGGGTACTCCCTGATAGGAGGAATCCCATCTGTACTGTTATCTCCAGGGCCAAAGGTGGTGTTCCCCCTACCATCACCGTCAGGCATCAGTGTGTTGTTAGCAAAGCCAAAAATATCCCTGCGCCGACGATCTGGAGGTCTGAAATACAGAAGAGGCAACTGCTGTAAGAAAGCTGAATTTGAGCGCTGTTATCACAATAAAAGACAAAAGGATTTACAGGACGTCCAGGAAATCATTTCATAACGAATAATTGCAGGTTTATATCTCCCAAATGTATTTTAACAAGGCTAAAGCATCTCGCTTAACTTGGATTTAATGTGCGTGCGCGTGTGTGTGTGTGTGTGTGTGTGTGTGTGTGTGTGTGTGTGTGTGTGTGTGTGTGTGTGTGTGTGTGTGTGTGTGTGTGTGTGTCATGTGTGCGGATGCTGCATATGACTCCCTGTGGAGCTGTGTGGGAGGAAGAGGTCAGACAGATCGTAGCAAGGTGTACAGAGAGAGAAAAATAAAAAGACAGACGCATAGATGTTTCACAGTTAGAAAAAAATAAAATGTCTCTCCAACAAAATCCTGATCAACAACGAACAAGTAGAAGAAACTTAGAAAAGCTGACCTGACATTTGGAAACAAACTTTTCAATCATAAAGACCAATGTTTAGTGGCCAAACTGAGGGCATTGCTGTGAATGAACTAGCAAACAGTTTGCCTACAGTCGTTACCTGAGAAACCTCCAGGGTTATTCTGCTCAGACTGACAGACAAAGGGAAGCGTCCTGACTCTGATGGAGTTAGAGGATAAAAGCTGTATTGACAGCAGGTGACAACAGCTATCAGTAGAGAGCTGCTGCAGGGTGATAAATGTTCAGGGCTAGTTTGTAAACGTAATGAGGACAGCATGAACAGATGGCTACGTCTGTATTACAGCCTATGAAACAGATCAGACATGATTCAAACGGTATACTGGAAATAAGGGCTGCTACCAACAATCATTTCTATTTTGATCAATAAGACGGTTTGTTTTTGATTAACTGTTTAGTCCATAAAATGTGAATTGTGTCCATCACAATTTCCTATAGCAAAATATGTAACATAAAAAGTGCCTTTTTTGACTGACAAACAGTCCAAAATCTAGCTATACTCATCAAAATTTAGAGTATAATAATAATAATAATTTTTCAAAATAGCTTGTATTTTCTTTTTCTTTTGATTATTGAATGGTTTCAACTCTACCAGAAGTTATAAATCGCTAAACTCAGTGACTTGTCTGAGCAAAGTTACAGTGAGGCATTTGTTGTGAGCAGACACACACACACGAGGAGTGTACAGACGGACAGATCCGTGGGAAAGACCTGTCGCACCGACATGTCAACATTCTTCTCCGACAGGTATAACGGGAGCGTTATGATCCAAAGTCCAGCACTCAAAACTTCTACTGTTACTAATGGAAAACACATCGTAGATATAGGAAAACTGACAGGAGAGTTGTGTGCTGACAGATTCAGATTTGTGATCGGACAAGTGGACGAGAGTTTGATAGACCCAACTTAGAGGCCAGATGAAAGACAACTTGAGGGATCCAGCTTTAAGCAGGGCAGTCCTAACTCTGTGAGAAGAGTCCCCAGCTGACTGAAGCATGACCTTATAACTAGTGAGTTACTACACTTAGTGTCCTGACCTCGCCTGCTAAAAAAAGAACCACCTTTATACAATGGAATCCGGAGAGGAAAAACGTGACACACATGACATTATTAGAGCTTGGTCCGCAAAATCTCTGGCTGCAACGGAAAAATTGGAAACCTCCTGTGAGACCTCTTATATGTGTGAATCACTCGTTTCCTCAGCAACAGTTACAGTAAAGAAATGCTGCTGATAAGAGGTTTTGGTGTCCTTACAAACAGTGGGAGCCACCCTCCCTCTCCTCCACTAAATCAGTCTGCCTTCCCTACTTTCTGTTTGTCTTCAGTCGCTGATGGGGCTCTTCCCTCATTCATTTAAATTCCAGATGGATTCACTGTACATTTCCTGGCAGCTGTCTGCCTCCATGAAAAAAAGAAGGAGAAAAAAACAAGTCCCGGACAAAGAGAGCATACGAGGGGAGGAGGAGAGTGGAGTGCCGGGTGGAGGGGGACAGAATGGAAAACATTTCCTATTCTTTCTGTTTCTCTTTTCACCCGCCCTCTTTCCCCTCACCCCGGGTCTAAACCCTGAACTTTTATAAAAACCTTCTAGATTTTCGAGCCCTTTCCCTGGAGTGTTCTGTAATAATGCTGGCTCTGTTTCAGTGGAGCGTCTGTAAGCACAGGCCCCGGACCTGCCAACCACTTGTTTCCTAGACAGCTATACTATAGCACATCAACACAGCCAGAGAGAGCAGGGTGGGGGGGTATTAGTTCAATTACAACAGAAAGCTGCTTTATTATTCTTCCCCCAAATACATATCGATCCAATTCCACAAGAGTGTTGCGAAGGAAAAGAGAAGGGCACCTTACGCTGTTTGAATGAAACAACTTTGTGAGGCTCGTTTAATCGTTTAAAGCTATGGATTTATAAGGTACCTGCTGAGTGTGGGTTTGTTGGGAACAACAACTATATCAAAAGTATCCCTATTTCTCCTTGATGGATGCTTGAAAATAAGTGTTATGGCACCAATTCACAAATGCATAGATTGTGTGCCACTGCCTGCCTTCATGAGAATAAAGGAGTGTGGGAGGAGAACGGAGCTGGAGTCTTTGAAACAGTGAAACATCCTTAGCCACGAGCAAGTTAAATGATAACAACACAGATGTCACTCCCTATTGTGGGGAACAAAAGCCTGAGCGGCTCGGAGTGTGCAGCCAAACTAGGCCCTTCAGACTCCTTAATCACATCTCTCTCCTGGGTTTGTTTGTGTTGCCTAAGTTGCTGCCTGCTAGGTCCTTACATCCCCCGTGCCACCGTTGCCACGGCTACATAAAGCCACAAGAGCGCTAAGAAGGCTTTGGATCCTACTCAGCATGTCTCCTCATCGGCAACGTCCGACAAAAGGGCCCCCGTCAGGTCCATCTACGCTGCCATGCTCGGATCCTGTCAGCTCCACAGAGGAGACATTACACCCGGGCCGCCACCTCATCCCTCACTCTGACCCATCAGGGCAAACAAGAGCCACAAGGGCCGTAGCAGGAGCTGGAAACGGTTTACGGAGTCAATGTGAGGCCCTCCACTATTCCAACCACATATATGTTTTACTATACCTCGGCAGAAAGATTGCATTGTGAAGGAAGTTCTCAAAAATCTTGAAAAAGACTCGGTCATCCTTCTCCCGGTCTTTCTCCTCGGGCGTCTTCTGGCAGGCGCAGCACGGGCCCTTCTCCCCCCCCGCCAGATCGGATTTGGTGGGCTTGGTATTGTCGTCCATGTCGATGTTCCCCGTGGCCGGGATACGGATCGGGACCTTCAGCTCTGTTTTAGGAGAAACCAAGAGTGATTAGCAAAGGGACAGATTCCGCATCTACTTATAATATTACATATTCATTGAATTGTAATATTGACTTCCTTTTTGAGAGTAAGATAAGAACATGTATATCCCCTTATATAAAGCTACAGCAAGCAGCGTGTTGAATTAGCTCACTAATTAACATTATATCTTGTTTAGCTTTATCTAAACCCTTTTTCATGTCTCTGCTA